TATCATAAGGGGCGAGCGGCAACCTTAAATCGGTGTTTGTTTGAAGGTATCTCCAGAACGGCGTAACATATCTCGATGAAATTTGACATAGATGTAGAACATAATCTGGAAAAATACATACGCTACTTACCAAGTTTTTATTAAAAATCCCGTATGGACGGAGTCGCGGGTGACTGCTAGTTTAATTATAAGTGTTAAATTATCCGCTTCCTAGTGAAGAGTGAGAGTCATGTTCGAAAAATTTAATTATTGTTTAACTTCTTTGCCGTAAAATTTTAACCAGTTGTATAATGAGAGTCAATTGTCAACATATTTGCTGGTGATTCATGTTTTTGTGGACGTTAGTTAAGGCATAGCGCTTTCTTTTAAATTACATAGCAATTTGAATCATATAAGTAATTAGGTTTTTTTAAAGACTAACTTATAATAATTATAATAAACTGCATCGGAGATAAAACTGTCTATTTTCTCTATGTGAATTTATTAATATTTCTGAGGAACATAAGCAAATTATTAAAATATACATTGACAGATTTTTCTTCTTCTTGAGATGCATCTCTGTTTGACCGACTTGGCGGTCATTTTCCTATTAGCCATTAATAGCTTAAAAGTAACTATTTTAAAGATACGGCATATAATATTAAGAGTTCCGAGTTGCCTAAAGGTTTGAATAGTAGTTTATTGAAGGCATAATTTTACTGCTGTCAATGATTCTAATTTTGTACGATCGTTTGTCAAATGTTTGGCCTTAACCGGCAACGCGCCAACTCACTCACTTGACGCAGATCGCGTGTTGACTCGATTACTGTCCGCCAACATCTGATCAAACATTGGATGATCTCACCACCAAACCCGCGCGCCAACATTGCACAGGTGTTAATTGCTACAATTGTTTGTTTTGTTTCTGATAAGCGGGGCACGTAGCCGTTGTGCTGCGTCAACTGAACGCTAGACTCAACAAGGCTCCGATTTTAACTAACAATGTCACGTTCCTATTTGGGTGGCCTAAATTACAGCGAAGTCAGTACTAGGTACAACAAATGTAGAGTTTATCAAATAACATATCACAAACATAAAATAAGCTAAATAAGAAATTTAAATTGTAGTAGTGGGCGACTTAAAATGGTTTTATGTTGATTAAGACTTTTGAATTACCAGTTTCTTAGACGGAAATCTCTGTATGTAATATCGTCATCCCTGTCTGTACAAGCAACAAGGTTTCAGAAACCCACGTCAAGTAAATCAGATAGAAAAGAACATGATTTAGAGTTACTATTTAGTTTTTACACACACTATACTGTAAAAAGTGTCAGGGCCACCGTCTATTTTAAGAGCAAGACTCTAAATTGCATCAGTTTTTGAAGCGACGTTAATCAGTCCCATGACATCACTTCCATGCCAATTAAACTGCAACGGCGGTCGGTAAATAAACAGATTAAAATGCTGTCGACAGTTGAAGTTTTAAGGACATTTATTCAGCAGATATTCTCATATTCTAGACTAGCGGTCGCCCACGACTTCGTCGGCGCGGGATTTAAAACAACATATTCAGTAGCCTATGTGTTCTTCCAGACTATGTTTTATATGGATGTCAAATTTCATTGAGATCCGTTCTGCCGTTCTGGAGATACCTTCAAACAAACATCCATCCATCAATCTAAACATTCGCATTTATGATATTAGTAAGATGTGGACGACTAACAGTTTCCGAGTTTAAAGTCTTCGTTTAAATCATATTGTTATCTCTGTGTTGTCAAAGATAATGACAGGGATGTCGATATGTTTTATATAGAGATACTAGCGATCGCCCGCGACTTCCCGCGAAATTAAAAAATAGATAGTAGCCGATTCTCAGACCTACTTAATATGCGTATAAAATTTCACAAAACTCTTTTAAGCCGTTTCGGAGGAGTATGGGAACGAAAATTGTGACACGAGAATTTTATATATAAGATTGGTGTCAGTAACCCACGGTAATATATCTATAATACTATGTTTTTTTACAATATTTTGTCTAGACATAAACTAAACATTAATTTAATTTAATACGGATTTGCATTTAGGTACTTATTTGGTTAAGTTAATAATAAGATTCACCTTCTAAATGTTAGAAAAAAAATGACATATTTAATTTAACTAGATTAATTAATTAATTGTTTGAGACAGTAAGTACTTCGTATTAAGTGATTTGAAACGCAATGCGATAATATGACTCTAATCGCGTCTAGTTTGCGTCATGACGGCCTTATTTGAGCTTAGCCAATTAAATTCCAACTGTCTTAATGTTTATTAACAAGGCGCCTTCGCTAAACTTCAATTAGCTATAAATTGCGATTGTTAAAGAATACATGCACCAATTCAATTAAATTGGAAGTAATTGGTTATAAAACTAAGATAAAGCGTAACGGCAGATACGACTTAGTCGGTATATTATGAAACAAATTTAAGATGTCGCGGTAATTTATTTATTGTTCTTAAAACCGATTCATATAAAAATATAAACCTGTATTAAAATTCGTTGTTATTAAATATTAAAAACATATGGTTTTTCGCTTTAGTACTAAGTAACCTGTACTTCTATGAAATTTGGACGTACAATGAAAGAAATCTTTATATATATATAATTCTTCTGTGAGTGTGTATGTCACTGAACTTCTCTCAAACGACTAGACCGATTTTGATGAAATTTTTTGTGTGTGTTCAAGGGGATCTGGGAATGGTTTAGATTCACAATTTTTTATCAAATATTAACTTCATATTAATTTATTCAAATTAAAGACGTGTAGACAGGACAACGTCTGTCGGGTCCGCTAGTATTATATAAATTTTGATTCTGAAATGTTTTAATTAATCTTAAGAATAATAGGTCGCTGCACACGTGTCCAGTACCTTAATATAATAATACAGAAACATTCCAATGCAACAATTGCGATGCACGTGAGTCCTTTCGATAATTCCAAATTGCAGTCAAATAAAAAAAAATTAACCCAAATTTCGCAAGAGTTACGGATCGATTAGAAGAAATAAGGGTTGCCGAAAAAAAGGAATCCTTTCTAAAGCCCGATCGTCCGAGCACACGTGCATAGAGTAACAATACATCGATGACTCACGAACGAGCCACGAAACGTTCGATGCGAAAGCTTTGAGTATTATTAAGAGAAAAAAAAACAAGATAAGCGCTCAGTCGTCGTACACCGCATCAAGGAATTGTACATCTGCCGAAATTTCTCACGGCTCCGACGCCGGTATTATTAAACCGGACCACTTCGCTATCGGCCCACGTACAGATCGGGGTCGTGTATATTGAATATGACAACTGGCAACCTAGCGGTTTTTAATCAATAGACTTTGTATTAGCATATCTTGTTTTCGCGCCTTCTCTCGCGACTAGTTAATTACGAAATACGGTATAGTAAACAGATTAATATGTGTTGACTTATGGTGTTGCCATTTATATATATGTTAATTTTTATCTATTTATAAATAGGAAATTTCTAACTAATTCGCGTCGTAGAAACTAATAGAACTTAAAATTTGTATTTGCTTTTAATAGAACTGAAATGACAACTTAACCATTTCTTTTAGTTTTCCCTAAATTTGATAAAACAATATTGATGAGAAGATGAAAATATTTGGCGGCTATAAAAACGAATTAAATTTGAAAGGAAAGAGTCAGAAGCAATATTTTATGTTGTGGAAATTTAAAACTTAGTACAATTGTTGACTGTAAGCTTAAAAAGCTTTGTTACACGTGCATAAATTCGTCTCAATTGTATTGTTACGGTGTAAGAAAAAAATTAATAATTCATGTCATTTAAATTTGCACAAAAGCTAGCGAGTTGCACAAAACTTTTTTTTGGGAAGTTCGATCTTTTGGTGTGAAAGTTTTGTGGAAACACGTCGGAACATGTTCGTACTATTCGGAACAGGTTATTTTGCCCATACTGTAGTTGTAGAGTTCTTCTTGATTTGCATGATATATTGTAAGTATTAATTAAAACGTGTAAATGAAGATAATGTCGGTTAGTTTTTGTTTTGTTATAATTATTGATAGATTTTAATTGGACATGGCACATTACTTGTCCGATAGATTACAGATAGAGTTTAAAAAGTATAATTGCGTTAATGAAACGAATGATATTGCGTAAGAAAACGTCCTAGATAATCAACCATGTTATTACAAGGAATCAAAAGATTAGGTAAAATAATATGAGATAAATTATTTGTATTTTGTTGTTTATTTTTAAATAATAATACAAAGTAAAATCTGGTGCCAAGTTACTTAAAAAGAAAATACCAAAGTAATATCAGTGTTACTTTAGAAAGGTTTCTATAAATTTTATATAATATCTCATAGTCTAATACTATCCATACTTTGTTGTTGCCTGTTGATTTAAATTTAAAATATATCATGGTACTCCTAATGATGATGATGATGATGAAAAATATTTAAATAATATGTAAACTAATAGGGTAATAAGTATCAATGGAGATGCTGATGTTTTTATCACGATTTTTCGTTGAGGTTATTTTTATAAGTAAAAATAAATTAATTAGTGTTAGTTGATTTCATTTATAATTTTGTTACTTCCTACTATGTAATAGCATTTTCTCTAAAACTGCAATTTTCATCCAACCATAAATCAAATATAGAAAAGATATTTAAGATGCATCTATTTATTTTTTACTTTGAATAACATAATGTGCAATACAAAGCGCGGGAATCAACGAAAAGTATTTCATAAATCCAGTAGCGTGGCCGGCGGGCGTGCACGTGCGCGGGCGCAGCAATGCGGTCCAACATCGCCCGCGCCGAAGCGAGCCACAAGATAAGTATAGCCCGCGCCTCGCGCCCACATCCCGTCTGACCACTTCTCATACAGGTTCCAAGTCGAGGCTCGAGCCAAGAACCCGCCAACTCGTGTTACATTGAATCGTAATCATTTAAATGTATGTGTGTACTCTGTGTCAAGTGGGTTGCATAAGTGAAAGATAGTACATATTCTTAATCATTCTTTTATTTCAACGTGTTAAAAAGGCATTAAACATAAATAAATTATTACTACCTAATACAATTAAAGCTCAGTATTCGATCACAATAAGCCTAAACCTATCATTAATGTATACAATACAAAAAATATCACATCGTACGAAACGATAATTAAAGCTTCTACTGGAGTTATCACGAGATCCCTATAACCTAACTATATATGGCACAATAGAACTATATTTAAAGCTAACATCACAGACGGTTGAGGAAACCAACGGAGCAGGCACTGGTTCCACGGAAGACACTGATTGTTGACGGAAGTCGTTGTCAGTTTAGGCTTGGACCCAGCGGTCTTGGAACACGGGGTGTTGCTGCTCCGCGGTTTGGCATTCTGTGTAACAGGAGGCCGCTGCGAAGTCGCCTTCAGTTTTGGAAACAGTTGTCCAGAAGAAGGTTCCGGCGTCGGTGCGTGCGAAGTGAACAGGGATGTAGAAATCTTCGCGTGCGACAGGCACAAGGTCGTAGCTCTCATCTTCGTTGCAAACGAGGAAGGCTGCTCCTGATTGGCAGTTATCCATTTCTTCGTAGATTTTCTTTTCCAACATTTCATTGCTGGAATTCTGCTCGCTCTCGTACGATGTGTCGCATTGTTTCACGGGAGCGCGTTTCGTTGTTTTCTTGATGATCTTCATCAAAGGCTTCAACAGTGCTTTGAAGCCACTGTTTTTCGCCTTATCACTGTTGTATTTATTCTCATTGATCGAGTTGTTAGTCGAGATGATGTACTCGTTGTTAGCGTAGTAAGACATTTTGGAAAGTTGTTTCGATAGAACGTGTGTTGCTTGTGAGAGTAGAAGCGGGAATGTGGGGCTGCAAGACCGGCTCGCCCTTTTATACCCGGCGCGCCGCCCCCGGCACAAAAGCTCCGCGTGTATGAAAAGCTCGCCCCGCGCGTGTGTGCGTAACTTAAGTGGTATATTTGATACTCTATTATGCTTTTCATAAACATTATCATCTTTATAATTCTCTGGCGAGCGGTTCAATATCAAGTAGATTTGTTGTTGGAAAACTTTCAGTTATTTTGCATAATTAAATATATAAGTTGGCGTAAAATGAAGTTTGTTTTTTTACATTAATTTTTTTGCATATATACAATTTAAGTAAATTAATGATATAAATTTATGGGTTCACAAATTTTATCCAAAAAAATATTAAATGTTGTTACAGAAGCCACATATCACTTTGCCCAACTTAAAAATATATGTCTAAGTCCAATTTATGAGATGCTGAAAGTTTAATGGGATTCATGTACGAGTCTTATTGTTTACTGTATTGTTTAAAGTAAATCAACTTAATGTAATTTGTTACAGGATATCAGTACTAATTTGTATTGAATTCTTATCAAGTTTATCGTGGACTATCATATTAAATATTGGATTAAGTTCCACTGACAAGTGTCCGATAATCCAAGAGGGTTGTCGCGAGCTGTCCACGCGTCGCGCTGAAGCGTGGGTAAACAGCACATGTTGCTCATTAGCCCCTGTTCTGGGAGAGTGGTGAATGAGTACAATGCGATTGTAATCGCTCGCGCCCCTCGGGTCACCCAGTCAGTGATGGGGTAACGCGACCCCCTGCATTGACCTCAGGTCGTTCACGCGTTAGGCGCGTGTGACTTTAATACTACATAATAATTAATTGTGTCTATTTGTTTATAAATTTTACTTTTTATAATTCGTCTTTCAACTTTTTTCGATCTTGTATATAGATAATTGTAACTCAACTTTATCTACGAATCAAATATTTGAAGTATTCAAGTGGGTGTTCATTAGCATATTGTTTATAAAAAAGAAAGATTAAATTTAGGATACCACCTACGCACAATGTTTGGTCGTGTACCGGTTCGAACGTGTAGGATTTTTTCCATCGTATGTCCGAAGCATACAAGAAAAAAAGCTAAGGTTTAAAAGAAATCAGTGTAGCGGTGATAGTAGTGCGAGCCAATGGGGTGCGCGGGCGGCGGCAGGTGCGCGCTGTACGATGCGGCCGAGGCGCGCACACATTCGAGCTCAGTTTAAATATACGATCTTGGAACACGTGCATTCGAAGGGGATGAACATACGATCGGGCGCGCGATAGGAAAGAGAGCGAGTATATTTTTTATTAGTATGAATAGATTCACGACTCCTTCATATCCGAAATAGGGTAACGCAAAGGCTAATTTGGTTATTGAAAATTGAGGGGTTGTTCGTGGGAATGCTCTCTGCGCGTAGGTTCCCAGGGTTGCTCGCACATTTAGCTTTTTTTCGGCGTCGCGAGTTTCGGCGCGACAGATGGCAAGCGAGCAGCGTTCCGCTTTGTATAATGGATCGTATGGGGCTTGTGGAGCATTGGAATTAAACATTCCATTTTGATGGCTCATCGCTTTCGAGGGGCGAGGGGATGAAGATGTAAACAAGTGTAAAAGGGGTCAGTGGAACTCGGCGGGGACTGTAATTAAATGTCTATTAGAGGCGTTTTAAGATTATTAGGCGAGATTGTTAGGGGCTCTTAAACAATTTTTGTGATTTTTTTGATAATTATAGCTATTAATGTGATTGTTATATGACTTTACGTTAGGATTCAGTTTTATGATAGCGATAGATTAGTTGTTTTACTTTATATTTTACGGCACCGCATACAGACTTTAGTTGAGGCTCCGGGTGGCTTAATTGCAATTAATTTAAATTGTAAATAATCAACAATTAAGCTTTCATTTCTAAATATGTATTTAATATTTTACGTCACCGTATAATATACCAGCTAGATAAGGGACAGTTACATTTTGATAAAAGATAAGTAAATTTTTACCTGTGTTATTTGGATATGATAATCTATGCGTCCCCCAGGGTAAGGCACTTGCTTTAAAAGTTGTTTATGCTTGATGTATACAAGTGCCCCGCACCGCACCCCTGTATTTACACGCATTGTTTGGGGCTGCACTTGTCGCGTTACTAACGGTAGGGGAGTTTCGGGAGTGAACTTGTTATACGCATGAATTAATCACGGCACAAATGAAAGGTGCATTGGAATGCAAGGTCATTTAATAAAATCATGTTAAGAGCCTGTAATTAGAGTTTTGTATTGTGAAAAACTAATAAAATATTGAAAATAATAAACAATTATTTAAATGGAAGATTTTTTTTACCTTTAATAATAATAATAATAACATTTTCATTATAATATAACAATTAAGTTAATAACATTGAAAGAATTATTCTTGATTTTCTGCATAAATTTGCATTAGTTTTCGCGCCATTTTTAACATTACCTTGCGCTATGTTAACTTTGGACGCTTTAAACTAAGAGACGATGGAGTTGCGGTGTCCATTTTTTAATATTCTAAGATGATCAATTACTGAGGAAACTTTGATATCATGACAATATCAACGAAAGTCAAATTACCATATATACTCGTCTCGCGTAAAAGAATGACATTTGTTTACAGCTTAAAAAGATTTCGAATTGATTATGTTTATCCTTCAATTTCTATTGTAAATTTGTATGCGTTTTTTTTACATTCTCTATGTAAATTGTACTGTTTTATGTTTTTTTTATTAAATTAACGTTATCGCGTAAGAGTCGTTGTATGTCAAAGACTTTTTATATACTAAATAGTAATACAAAAAAGAAACGTATTTCTTACAAAGACCCCAATTGTATTCAGAGTGTGGGAATTTCAGTTGAGATTCGAATTTATAATATTGGGGGTGGAAAATAAAGGGCGATGTATAAATCACCCCCTAATCGTTTCTTTTTTGCGTTACACTTGTTGCGTCACCCACACGCTATATATATTTTACGGTTACTAAAGCTACTTTGTGATCGAAATCAACCTTATTTTCTACACAACTAGATATATTATTAAATGAAGCATCGTTATAAATATGTATTTATAAGTTTGTAAATAGTCGCAGTATTCAAAATGGGGTTCGAAAATTTCAGGGGTTGTTGGACAATTAATTGAATCTCAGGTAAAGTTATTTTGAATTGTATAATACAAAAAAAAAGGTTTTAGATTTTGCATTTTGTAGATAAGCAATTATAACATAAATTATATATAATAGTTATATAATCATTATGAGAAAAATTAATACATAATGTAGAAACGTCTAATAAATGATGAAAATTATAAATTTTGTAGTATTTATCGATTTAAAACAGTGTAAATATATTGATGTATATAATAATTTTTAGAAATAAATGTACATAATTAAACAAATTGTTTTTGTTTACCTTATAACCTACGTATTTACCCTCTAAAATACTGTACGATATTTTCACTCTCTCTCAAGGTGCCTCTCCATTTAATGGAAGTTGGCCGTCAGCTCAGTGAACTTTCGTCGATCTTGTGCCAAGCGAAATAAATGTTCCACGCTGGTAACATTCGGTAATGATATTTTAAGGATCCAAAAAAAAAGCTTTTGGTGTAAATTATAACATATTTATCACTGTCCTCATAAATAAGTATACTATTCCAGTTTCCTATCAGTCTAGGGCTAGAATAAAATCAAAATGTTACAGAGTAGGGTTAGAAATTAGACATAAACTTATACGTTGTTTTATTTATAAAGGGTATAAAAATAAATATAAAAGCATATGTTTTACTATTATATTTTATCACGTTATCAATAATTTAATTCTAACACCAATGGCGTAAGCTATTTAAAAAAATACAGACGAATTGAGAACCTCCTCCTTTTTGAAGTCGGTTAAAAAACAAACCGAAGCTAAATCGATCAAAATAATTACAAATGTAACTTGCTCCTGCTTCCTCAATTTACTTTAATCGTTGGTTTCACGATTTGTTTTGTTTTAAAAAGTTTTAACAGCATGAATGCAGTGCGGAGGCGTCATTAACGACGGTAGAGTGAGAAAAGGGTTAATTATTCAAAAAGTTGGTGTCGAGTTTTTTTTATTTTTACGTGTATTAAAGAGTATACATATAAACTTGTTTTAGTTAGTTGTCATTCAAATTAAGAAATATTGCGTTACGATAAAATAAGATTTGATTCGATTCATCTCTCTTGTTTCAATTTGAAATTGTAAATAGTCATCTTAATCATCGTCATCAGCTCATTGTACGCCCCCACCGAGGGGCTCGGAGCCTACCCTAAGTTAAGAGTGATTAGGCCATAGTCAACCAAGCTGGCCAAGTGCGAGTTGGTTGACTTCACACATATCTTTGAATTACTTCTCAGATATGTGCAGGTTGTATCACGATGTTTTCTTTCACCATAAGAACGTCGGATTGTAAACAATATATGTATGTAACATTTTATATATTAAAAGAACAAAAATAACTAAAACAACTACACTATTTTAAGGATTTGATATTATGTCGTTTCTATGGCAGTCTATAACCACTGAGTTATGTTGTCTTTTATTGTATTTGGTTGGAAACACTGCAACTGCTTATCAACATAAGCAACTTTCAAAACAAGTTCCCAGTGAAGTCCCGATCTTATTTCGTGGTTTTAATTATGGATTCGTCTCGCCCTATGGGATCTAAAGAGAGTTAATAACTTGATCTGGAACGTGCTCCTCCATTTATCTTACTTGTATCATAAATGTTATTAGAAATGAACGAAGATTTGTTCAGTATCTTGTAGTCATCTTGCTTTTTTTTAATTTTCTACATATAGATACATCTGCTTTTTGGTTTGGGTTAGTAAAAATAGAAAAATCGCGTATACATTTTAAAATTTAAATCTTAAGTTTGTATATTACCTAATAACAATAAAGAACCGCTTCTAGTAATGTAAAATACGTGCTTAAAGTTTAGGAGATTCTTATTAGAATTACAGTAACTATATATGTATAA